TTCAGAGACCCAGGTCATGTTTCTGGGGACCTGGGTTCAAATCTTGCTATGGCAGATGGTGGAACTTTTAATTTCAGATTTTTATTGAATTCAAGTTGAATGATGATCATGAAACTGTTGTTGATTGTCAGAAAAACTCTTCTGGTTCACAAAATGTCCTATAGGGAATGAAATGGTCATCCTTACCTGGTCTGGCCTACATGTGACTCCAGAACCACAGCAACATGGCTAACTCTCAACTGCCGTCTGGGCAGTTACAGATGGGAAACAATGCTGGCCTAGCCACCACGTCCCTGCCCCAAACCCATGAATGAATAAAAAGTATTTCCCTTGATGTCGAAAATCCAACTTTTGTACTTTTGCATTTTCTCTCAAAATTTCTCTTTGCTCAAGGGCTAGGAAAATTCTGTTGCATAAATTAAAGGTGAATCATATTTCGGTAGCAGTAACCATGCTAAAACCAAAAATAGAGAGAAGTTCTGTTATTTACACATCACACTAAAATGAAAATACACCATTAGTATGGGCTTTAAAATCAAGGATACATGCAGTTTGGTACCACAACTTGCTACTGCAAATTTATATTAATCTTCTAAATTTAATACTTTTGACAGTGTGCAGACTGTATTACAAACAGGTGGTCACTTAATATAGGGTCAGTTTTCTTATTCAACTTTACAAAGATTTTTAAAATGATCTGCAATCCTCAGGGAATCAATATTCAATGTGTACCTAATTTTTTCTTGGCATCTTATTGGGGTTAAGTTGTTACAACAAAGTCTGCTTTAAATCAGAATTCTTTAAATTTAGCACTTGGTACACTGTAGCAGCCAATGCTGTTCCCTCAACTCATTTACAGCTAATTCTCTTATGACATTTTAATATAGGTGTTAGCCTGGATTAACATTGGTATCAGAGAGGGGGCTTTATTTTAATAGCCTGGAGACTGATCTTGGATCAAGATGTGATGTCAGCTCCTGGACAGTCAGCAAGTGAGGAAGATCCCATCAGTAGTTTTAAGTTCCAGGAGCTTCGATGTATTTGCTTCCATTTTCTAACTGACATTCAAAAATATCAGGGAATCTCTTTAACAGCCATGTCAAAGTAGTGCAGAGTGCAATCTGATAATAGCATCTATTAGCAATTTTGCTTTAAAAGACCCTTTGACCAGTTAAAAGGGTTGGGTTGGTTAGCTCAGATGGTTACAGCATTTTGGCTCAATGGTTAGCAGTGCTGCCTCACGGCAGCAGGGACCTGGGTTCGATTCCATCCTCCTGTGACTGTCTGTGTGGAGTTTGCACATTCTCATGTCTGCGTGGGTTTCCTCCAGGTGCTCCAGTTTCCTTCCACAGTCCAAAGATGTGCAGGCTAGGTGGATTGGCCATGCTAAATTGCCCATAGTATTCAGGGATGTGTAGGTTAGGTGGGTTATAGGGGGAAGGGTCTGGGTTGGATGCTCTGAGGGTCAGTGTGGATTTGTTGGGCCGAAGGGCCTGTTTCCACGCTGTAGGGATTCTTTGAATCACACAAATGTCACAGAGCAGGTTGTCATTTGGCCCATCGCACCGGACTCATTAAATGAGCATCATTACTTAGTGTCAATCTCTTGCTTTCTCCCCAAACTCTTGCACATTATTTTCATCTAAAGAATGTATCAAATCAGCCAATTCATGATTCTGAAAACCTCTATCATATCTCCCCTTAGCCTTCTTCTCTCTAAGGAAAGTAGTCCCAACTTCTTCGATCTATCTTTATCACTGGAATTCCTCACCCTTGGAATTATTCTTCTAAACAGCTTCTATACTGTCCAATGCATTCATATCCTTAAATTGTGGCACGCAGATCTGTCACACAATTTCGCAAATGAGGTCTAGCCAGTGTTAAACAAGGTCAACATCAATTCTTGTATTCTATGCCTGCATTAATAAAACAGAGGATGCTAAATGCTTTACCTATTTCTCTCTACTTGTCCTGCCACTGTCAATAATCTGAGCACATTTACATCCAGATGTGTTCCTGCAGCCCTGTTAGAATTCTACTACTTATTTTATATTGGGTTTCAAAATTCTTCCTACTAAAATATATCACCTCATTTCTCTGCATTAAAAGTCATTTGCCCATCTATGCTCTCTGGCCTACACTGTCAGAGAGTCAGATTCAAACAGCACAGAAACAGATCCTTTGGTCCAACTAGTTCACGTTGACCAACGTTCCCAAACTAAACTTGTCCTGTTTGCCCGTGTTTAGCCCATACTCCTCTAAACCATTCCTATTCATATACTAGTCCAAATATCTTTTAAATGTTGCAACCGTACCTGCCACTTCCTCTGACAATTCATTCCATATACAAACCACTCAGTGACAAAGTTGCCCCTCAGGTCCCTTTTAAAATCCTTCTCCTCTCACGTTAAAAATCTGCCCTCTAGTTTTGAACTCCTCCACCCTAGGGTAAAGATCTTTGCTATTCACCTCATCTGTGCCATTCATGACATTATAAACTTTTACAAAAAGGTCACCCCTCAACCTCCTAAGCTCCAGTGAAGAAAGTCCCAACCTATCTCACATTTCCTTATAAATTAAACCCTCTAGTCCTGGCAACATCCTGGTAAGTCTTTTTTGAACCTTCTCTAATTTAATAATATCCTTCCTATAGCAGGGTGACCAAGAGTGTACATAGTACTCCAAAAGTGGCCTCACCAACATTCTGTATAACCTCAACCTCAACCTCAACATGACATCACACTCATATACCGTATAGTGAAGGCAAGCATGCTAAATGCCCTCTTAACCACTGTCTAGCTTTGATGTAACTGTCAAAGAACTAGGCACCTGAGCCCCCAAGTGTTTCTGTTTGACAACATTACACAGGAGCTTCCATTAATTATAGAAGTCTTGCCCTTGTTCACTGTACCAAAATACAGTACCTCACATTTATTTAATTTAAACTCCATCTGTGACTCCTCAGCCCGTTGGCCCAGCTGATCAACATCCCTTTGTGATCTTGGATAGCCTTCTTTACTGTCAACTATAATCACCAGTTTTGGTGTGATCCGCAAACTTACAAACTATGCCTCCTAAATTCTCATCCAAATTGTATTATATTAAGTTATATAAAATAACAAACAACAATGGACCCAGCACTGAACCCTGAGGAACTGCTGGTCACAGGCATCTAGACCAAAAAAAATCCTCCACCAGCACCCTGTCTCCTATCATCCGGCCAATTCTGTTTCCAATTGGCAAGCTCTCCTTGAATCCCATATGATCTAACTTTAGTAATCAGTCTACCATGTGGAAACTTGTCAAAGGCTTTACTAAAGTCACAGACAACATCTACCACTCCGTCCTCAAAATATTCAATCAAGTTAGTGAGACACGACTTCTAATGCACAAAACCATGCTGCCTTTCCTTAAATCAGTCCCTGCCTCTCCAAATGCATGTAAATCCCATCTCTCAGAATCCCCTCCAACAATTTACCCACCACTGATGTCTGACTCACCAGTCTGTTGCTCCCAGGCTTCTCCTTACAGCCTTTCCTAAATAAAGGCACAACATTAGCCATCCTCCAGCACCTCACTTGTGGCTACAGATGATAGCAATATCTCTGCTAGGGGCCCTGAAATTTTTCCCTTAACTTACCACAATGCCCTGGGATACAACTGATCAGGTCCCCAGAGATTTATCCATTTTTTGTTTTTTTTTTAAAAGGTCTCCAGCACCTCTTCTGCTATGTGGACTGTCTACGGTATCAATGTTTATTTCTGAGTTCCCTAGCCTCTGTCTTTCTCCACAGTAAAAACTGATGCAAAATGTTAGATGAGTATCACCCCATCTCCTGTGGTTCCAACATAAAGATCAACAAGGTTGTCTAAGGTGCCCTATCCTTTGCCTAGTTGCTCTTAACGTACTTGTAGAATCTCTTTGGATTATCCTTAGCTTTATCTGCCAAGGCTATCTCATATTCCCTCTCTGCCATCCTGATTTCTCTCTTAAAAATGCCCCTACACCCCTTATACACTTCAAGAATATCACTTGATCCCAGTTGACGAGACCGAACCTATGCCTCCTTATTCTTGAAGGGCTAATCAATATCTTCATTCATCCATAGCTCCCTAATCTTACCAGTCTTACTCTTCACTCCAACAGGAACATAATGCCTCTGAACTCTCGTTAACTCACTTCTGAAAGCCGCTCACTTGCCAGTTGTCCCTTCACCTGCGAATAGACTACCCCAATCAACTTTTGAGAGTTCCTGTCACATACCATCAAAGTTTGACTTACTCCGATTAAGAACTTAAATTTTTATGCAAAGCCTATACTTTTCCATAACTATTTTAAAACCAGTAGAAATACGATCACTGGCCCCAAAGTGCTCCCCCACTAATACCTTAGTCATTTGCCCTGCCTTATTTCCCGAGACAAGGTCAAATTTTGTCCTTTTAGTAGGTACATCTACATATTGACAAAGGAAATTTTCTTGAACATATTTAACAAATTCCTCATTTTCCAAGGGCTTAATACAACGGTAGTGCCAGACTATGTTTGGAAAGTTAAAATCCCCTACTACTACAACCCTATTATTCTTGTAGATCTCTCTACATACTTGCTCCTCAGTTTCCCCACTGACTACTGGAGGGCATATAGTACAATCCCATCAAGGTGATCATCTTCTTATTTGAGTTCTACCCAAATACAACTCTAAGTTTGTATCATCTACAAACTTTGAAATTGCCCCATGCATAGCAAGATTTAGATCATCAATATGTATCAGGAAAAGTGAGGCTCCCCCTATCAACCTTTGTGGAACTCCTATACAAACCTATCAGCCCAAAAGAAATATACACAATAATTATTGATTACTCACAATTTCCTATCACTCCATGTTGTATCCATGTTGCTCCCAACAATTTTATCCCATAATTGCATACATTAGTCTTAAATATTTATATTTCAGGCACAGTATAACCCTTGCTACTAAAACATGATTAAACAGACTTACTCTTTTGTGATCTCCCCTGTCATTCCATCCACAATTTCCACGGCGTTATCTCCCCTACACCAGTTTATGCTCAGCTTTTCATAAAGTGGATCCGACTCTTTAGGTTCTCCCTCACCACAATGGGAGAAGTGTGCTCTCACAGCAGTGAACACATTAGGAAGCTTCTCATTCAAACTCTCATCTACACGTTGATTGATTGCTTTTGTGACAATCTGCATTGGATGAAACTGTCCAGCTGATTTTTAAAATATAAAAAGATTTCACTTTAAGAAAGTTTTTTCCCCTAATTTAACATTCACTTTCAAGTTGATAATTTAGATTTGAAGTTATATTATTTATTATTCAATATTTAAAATTAAACAGAATTAAGAATGTGCCTCCATAACGTTACATTCAGAGTCACAACCTCATGTAGCTTCTTTCTCATAATTATTCACACAATGGAAGGAACTTGATCAGTGACCAACATATTAGGCCTAAGTGTCCAGAATAAATTCAGCGTAATCACCTTGGGTGAGGGTTAAGAATGGATTTGAGAAGTTGCATTCACAACAATCTGTGAAAGATTGTATACTTTACAGTTTTAGTGTAGTTATTCCATTGGCTCTGTGGATACAAGGATAATCCACCCCACTGCACCATGCCCTTGAATACATATGCACAAGTCAGACTGCAGAGAGTTACCGACAATGAAGAGGCATACTGTTTATAATTCCAGGATTGTGGATAATGTAATCCTAATCTTATACAATTCAAAACCCACACTGAGAATCAAGATGTTTATTTTCAAGTTATTGCTTGAAATGAAATTATTGCACTTACGAAGGACAATACTGGTGATGTATAGTGGTTTGATAAAGTGGCTGAGCAGTGCTCCCTGGACTCCCAGAACCATCCATCGGCTCAATTTATCACTTGCCGTCATGCAGCATACGTGGGTTGCTGTCACACTAGGGCGACAGCTTGCTGCTGGCATGATGGAACCTTTGGAATGAATGTGAAGTCTCATTTCAGGATTTCGATATGGCACAGGGTCCCTGCAGAAGACAATTATACAGTTAAGATATTAATTAAGTGATAAAAGAACAGTAATTGCATCTGAAACCACACAGCATACATCTCACAAGATAAAATGCATATACTGTCTGCACTATTCATTTCACTCCACGTGAACACCCCCACATAAAGATAGACTAGACGGTAAGTATTAAACTGCCAACGTGTCACAAAAGTGCAACCTGTAACTAGTTATAAAATGGAGAACTGCTGATCTCCCCAGAATAAATGAGCAAAAATTGCTCCAAACTATTACCTTCATATCTCCACTATTTTTCCTCCCTTTTGGAAGAAATTAAATGTTCTATGTGACTTTAATAGTTTTCAGTTTCCTAGCCCGAAGCAATATTCTTTAAACTGTTAAACATCCAAACTATTGAGATCTCCAGTCACACCTGAGAAGTTTGTGGTCTCTCTGCTTCTTTCTCCAGAGGACCAAGAAGTTCCTATACACCATCATCCTCTACACCTAGCTCAACAATAAACTGTTGCTCACTTGGAATGAATTCTCCTTCAACTATACTCATTTAGTTTAAATTAAAGATGTTTCAACGGGATCCTATTTGTAGACACATGGAATATACATCTTGGCTCCAGTTCTACTCCGTGTTTTCCTTCACCTTTTTACCCATTGTCATTTCCCACATTGGCAACTGCATTGGTGCTATTTCAATTCTTGAACCATTCCCCGAATTGGAAAATTTCAATGCTACTTCTAATTTCCACACTTACCTTTGTGTGACCCTCCTTAGGCCTTTCCCTTCCTGGCTCATTGCCAGAAATGGAGATAACGAGCCAATATTCAACTGACTCCTACATCTACTCGGATTACAGTTTCTCATATCCTGCTTCCTTGTGATGACTCTATTCCTTTCTTTCAGTTTTCCTATTTTAAACCTCCACAATACAGATTCCAATAAATCTTCTTTTCCTAAACTGACACCACCCCACCACAGTTGATAGGATCACCTCACTGTTTGTTCTGTCATACACTTCTGGCCTCACATTTTCCCTTGCTTTCCGGAACCTGGAGTGTGTTTCTCTTCTACTTTCCACTCCAACAGTCTCCATAGTCAATGGGATCATCCCCTACCATTTCAGCCACTTCTAGTTTGAAGCCATCAACATCTACCACTCTCCTTTCAGAATTCCAAAGAGATTGTTCAATCCATGATTTCCTGATCTCCCCCCTCCACCTTAAGTCATCCCCAACAACACCTCTCCTTCCCACTGCATCTTTCCATGCAAGTGCAGGAGATGCAACTCCTGTCCTTTTACACATCAATTCTAACCATCCAAGGATCTCTCCAGGTGAAACAGCAGTTTACTTGTACTCCTTTTCAAGTTGGAATACCTTACTCATTGCTCACAGCACAACCTGCTCTACAACTGGAGACAAAGCAAAAAAAGTAGATAATTGCATTGCAGAGCAATTCTGTGCAGCTCAGAAATATGACCCCAAGTTTCCAGCAACTGATTTTAATTTGTCACCTATTATCACTGACATCTTTGCCCCTTGGCCTCTGCATTGCTCCAAAGAGATTCAATGTTGAAGAATAGCATCTTATCATTTGATTTGGCACTTCATAATGCTTTGGACATCTGAAATGTTTACTTTGCTCTCAATCCAGAAATGCTGCCAGAATTTGACTATTTTAAGTATTTTTTGTTTTTAATTTCAGATGTTCAGTCTTTACAGTAGTTTGTTCTCGTTATTAGTCAAATATGCCCTGGACATGCTTGTCAGAATAGCAGAGGACCTGTGGGCAATAGGTAATAGTATCGCGATTTCAACTGGTTAATTGACACTAAAATGTTGAAAACATGCATTCATGTAAACACACATTTAAAACTCTTCCAAGAACAACCTGTGGGGTAAAGTATCAAGTTTGTTCTATTACACTTCAAATGCTCTTTACCACATTAAAAAGTAGTTGTTGCTACTTACTGAACTTTGGTGTTCCATAGACAAACAGGACACAAAGAATTGAAGAATTACTAGCACACAACTGCAAGTGGACTTTAATACCTAGATTCAATTTATTAATTTTGTTTCCATTACTTTGTGGAATTAATCCCTTTAATATTTTTTGTAAAATTATAAGTAGTTAATTGACAAATATTTCTAATTCTAACCATGAAACTGTACTCCATTATTCAATATTAACTGGGCCACAACTAAATACACTTACATGAGAATGCTCTGAGCAGCCCCCTTTGGAACTTTACTGAGGTAGAGATGAAAAAAAATATTTTTCTTGAGGGACAACAAATCACTTCCTGAAGACTTGTAGAAGATGCATTTCTCTAAACCCACAGGATTGTTATTACAAAATAGAAGGAGCTGCTTAAACAAATATCTGCAAAATTAAGAGAAACGTTACTGGTAAAAAGGAGAATAATCACAATAATGTATATGACGAAGGAGCAGTGCTATGAAAGCTTGTGATTTCAAATAAATGAGTTGAACTTTAATTTGGTGTTGAATCACTTCTGACTTTGTCCACCCCAATCCAAGACCCGCACCTCCACATCATACACTGATGTTACAACAGACAAAGTCTTATGGCATTTTGTCCCCTTCTCCAATATTACAAAACACCATGTTTAACTGGGACTGTTTGAAGTTTATACATTTTATTATCACAGCACATTGGAAACCAGGACAGGTATTTTGAAGGCTGTGTGCTCAGTTAATTAAAAGTTTCCAAGGCAGTGGCAGAAAATAAAAAATAGTCCTTATGCACTGAAGTTGGGGACCTACCAACAATTACCCTAAAACAAGTTTCTTGTTTGTTCTCACTCTCTAGTGAGAAACAACAAAAAAAAAGGTAAAAAGAAAACAGAGAATATCGCCAATTTCTACAGCAGGGCTAGGTACTACAAGAGTGGACAGCAAAGATACAGTCGGGGTCAGAAAATGAGAATAAGCGCAAGAGCTTTTACACCACACTGAGGGATGCAGTATTCCACTGTGTGAATCATCTGACGTCTATAAACAGGTGTCTAAGTAGTCAATTGTTTTCAACATTAAAAGTGATGAAATCAAAAAATTGGAGATAACAAGGTGTAGAGCTGGATGAACACAGCAGGCCAAGCAGCTTCAGAGGAGCAGGAAGGCTGACGTTTCGGGCCCAGACCCGTCATCAGAAATGGGCGAGGGGAAGGGGGTTCTGAAATAAATAGGGAGAGAGGGGGAGGTGGATAGAAGATGGATAGAGGTGAAGATAGGTGGAGAGGAGACAGACAGGTCAAAGAGGCAGGGATGGAGCCAGTAAAGGTGAGTGTAGGTGGGGAAGTAGGGAGGAGATAGGTCAGTTCAGGGAGCGGGATGAGGTTAGTAGGTAGGAGATAGGGGTGGGGCTTGAGGTGGGAGGAAGGACAGGTTAGGGAGGCGGGGACGAGCTGGGCTGGTTTTGGGATGCGGTAGGGGGAGGGGAGATTTTGAAGCTTGTGAAGTCCACATTGATACCATTGCGCTGCAGGGTTCCCAAGCGGAATAGGAGTTGCTGTTGATGCAACCTTCGGGTAGCATCGTTGTGGCACTGCAGGAGGCCCAGGATGGACATGTCGTCTGAGGAATGGGAGGGGTGGGGGGTTGAAATGGTTCACGACTGGAAGGTGGTTTAGTGCGAACCGAGCGTAGGTGTTCTGTGAAGCGGTCCCCAAACCTTTGCTTGGTTTCCCCAATGTATAGAGGAGGCCACAACAGGAACAGCAGACACAGTATACCACAATAGCAGGTGTGCAGGTGAACATCTGCTTGATGTGGAAAGTCTTCTTGAGGCCTGGGATGGGGGTGAGGGGGGAGGTGTAGCACTTCCTGCGGTTGCAGGGAAAAGTGCCGGTTGTGGTGGGGCTGGAGGGGAGTGTGGAGTGGACAAGGGAGTCACAGAGAGAGTGTGGTCCCTCCGGAAAGCAGATAAGGGTGGGGAGGGAAAAATGTCTTTGGTGGTGGGGTCCCACTGCAGATGGTGGAAGTGTCGGAGGATGAAAAATTGGATGTTGCCAGGCAATAGCTGTGAAATCCTTTTGAGGGAACCATTGTGCTACATCGTCCAAAACTGCAAGGCAGTTTTCTCAGACAAACATGGTCTGAGAGTCAGAACTGCTTGCCATGTTATGTACTGAACAAATTACATTATGCAGAGTGTAATTTTCAGGGCAATATGTATCTTGCTCACTCAGCCCAAAATACATCTCTTACAGGTACATTCGTCTGGAATATTTATCTGAACAAAGCAGCAATTATTTAGACTTTCTTCTAAAAAAAAACTTGTATAACATGTTTGGAGCAAGAAAACACTAAATTGAGATTTTTAAGTTTTACTTTTTGCAAAAAGAAGTTAAATTATCTCAATAAAACAGGCTCTCTCAAGACTGATAAAGAAGAAAGGATCCATTCTGAAGCAATATAATCTCTTGGGGTCACACAGCAAACATGGATCGGTGATAACACTATAACGACAGTTTGCTGCAAGCATGGTGGACCTTTTGGAATAGTTGCAAAGTTACATTTTAGTGATTCATTTTGCCACAGGATTCCTACAGGAGACATTAAAGATTATAAGAAATGGGATCAGTAATTCTGTCTGAAACTACATAACATGTAGCTGACAAGCCAAAATGCATTGACTGTTTGTACTGTTAATTTCACCAAGTGAAAACAGAGAAGAGGTTATGTATTAAGGTACCATATAAAATCAAATCATAAATGTGCAACCCAGAACCATATATGAACTGATCTTACTAGAAGAAAATAAAAGAAATTCCGAAGTTATCATATTGGACTTAAATTAACTGTTTCTCGCCACAGATGAATTCAGACTTTTTTTTTCCCCCCCGATTTATTTGTGGGATGTGGGTGTCGCTGGCTGGCCAGCATTTCTTGCCCATCCCTAGTTGCCCTTAAGATGGCTTCCTTTTTGAACTGCTGCAGGTTGACCCACAAAGCTATTAGGGAGGGAATTCCAGGATTTTGACCCAGTGACAGTGAAGGAACGGCGATATATTTCCAAATCAGGATGATGCGTGACCTGGAGGGGAACTTGGAGGTAATAGTGTTCCTATAAGTCTGCTGCCCTTGTCCTTCTAGATGGAAGTGGTCGTGGGTTTGGAAGGTGCTGTCTGAGGATCTTTGGTGAATTTCTGCAGTGCATCTTGTAGATAGTACACACTGCTGCGGCTGAGTGTCGGGATGCTGAGAGTGAATGCTTATGAATGTAGTGCCAAACGGGCTGCTTTGTCCTGGATGTGTTTTTGGGGCCGAACTCATCCAGGTAAGTGGGGGGTATTCCATCACACTCCTGACTTGTACTTTGTAGATGGTGGACAGGCTTTGGAGGAGTCAGGAGGTGAGTTACTCACCACAGTATTCCTAACTTCTGGTCTGGTCTTGTAGCCACTGCATTAATGTGGTGAGTCCAGTGGAGTTTCTGGCCAATGGTAACCCCCAGGATGTTGATAGTGGGGGTTCAGTGATGGTAACACCATTGAATGTCAAGGGATGGTGGTTAGATTTTCTTATTGGTGATGGTCATAGCCTGGCATTTGCATGGTGTGAATGTCACTTTCCTAAATGTCACAGTTTCAAAAGCATTTTCTTTTTATTTCTGGTTTCTAGCAGTATTTGCTTTTGCTTAAATGAAAAATAAATGTTGCTTCATGGTAGAAGCTAATGAGAACACCTAATGGACTAATTAAAATAGAATGCAATTTCCATTCAGCACAGAATCCAACATACAAACAATATAAGGACGCTCTTAATAAAAAAGGGTTCTACAAGCTTGTGCATAGTGTTAAATGTATCTTTGGAAAATGACAGTCCATCAACAAGCATTGGAATTTGGTTCAGCATGTTTCAAGAACCAATGTAAAACTTAATATCCAATGCTTGAAGTGGCACAGATGCAGCAGAAACTTCAAGAATCAATACAATTGACAAAGATATTCGCAGAACTGACAATGTCATAATGGAATGCTCAGTTGTGAGAAGCCACATATGGCTTGGTCATGCTCAAGTAATAGTCCTTCACTACAGTTTTCTAAATTATCCTTGTGCTATTGAACTTTAATTTTAAGTAACATATGGATTAATGTCTTTTGTGCATTTTCTCTTCACACCAAAGTCCATTTTCAGTCATTTCAGGCTTGACCAAGAACAATCATAAAATATTAAGTCTAATATTCTGAAGCATTCTCTCAATTCTATTCTCGAGCTCAAATGTGCTGTCTCAACTCTTCTTTGCAGTGCCCCTAGGATGTTACGGTCACCTTGTTGCTGTATTAGGAAGAAACAAACATTCATCATACTAGAGCAATGAGTGTGCCACAAATTTTATGTAGATGTCTTACAATCTTTTTGAATACATGGAAATTTCTTTATACACAGTAAACTTTTCTTGAGCAAATACCTTTGCAATGCCCGTCTTACAACCACTGCAGCATGACAGTCATGGAGTAAACGACCATCAAAACGGATCCAACTGCTGTAACAAGTCTCTCCTGTTCCTAAAGCAACCACTTCATACTGTTCACTGTTGCCATCTTCCGTCACTGCAAAAGAAAAAAGGTGGAAATAATATTTTTGCAGGAGCGATATGGAAATGCTATAAAAAAGGATGGAGAATTAGAGTTAATCAGTTTGAGGAGTCTTAAACTTATTAGCATTTAGGTTCATATTTCAAAATGGAATAAATTGTGTATAAAAGGACAACGATCCTACTCAAAGGGTGAGTGAAGAACAAGGGTTTATAGAAATGCAGGAAAGAAAACGTCTACACCAAAAGCTTTAACTCCAGCTTCAAAGCATAGGAGGAAGATCCCGTATCTATCCAACACCATATCGTCCTTGGTTTGGTTAATGTGATAAAATTTGTAACAAAAGTAAACCATAATAATGTATCCATTTTTAAGATAATGAATACAGCCAAGAAAGACGACAGACAGGGTGGTTAAAAAGGTTAACATGCTTGCCTTCATATGCTCAATGCTTTGAGCATGAGTTGGGAAGTCATGTTGGGTGTTGTACGGGACATTGAGGCCTCTTCTGGAGTACTGTGTCCAGTTCTGGTTGCCCAGTCATAGGAAGGATATTAAAAGGTGGAGAGGGTTCAGAAGAGATTTACAGGTAGTTCTCCTATAACGTGATAGTGGTGTTCTTGCGGGAGAGGAAAAAAAAAATGCTATACTTGTACAGAAAGTTTGCATTATCCAAACAGCGTCCACTATTCATCATTCACACAGCCAATTCGCATTAATGAAATGCATGTTATAGCGGAACTACCTGTACCAGAATGCTGCCAGGTATGGAAGGTTTGAGCTACAAAGAAAGGCTGGATAGGCTAGGACTTTTTCATTGGAGCTTAGGAGGTTGGGAAGCAACCTTATAGAAACTTATAAAATAATGAAGGGTATAGATAGAGTTAATTGTAGTTGTCCTTTCCCTAGGATTGGGGATTTCAAGACTAGAGGGCACATTTTTAAAGGTGAGAGGAGAAAGATTTTTAAAAAAAGACACGAGGGTCCAATTTTTTTTTTTAAAAAACAGAGGGTGTGGAAATGGGGGTGAGAGAGTACAATTACAACTTTCAAAAGACATTTTATTAAGTACACGAATAGGAAACGTTTGGAGGGATATGGGCCAGGAGCAGACAGGTGGGTCTAGTTTAGTTGGGATTATGTTCCGTGTGGACTGGTTGGGCCAAAGGTCTGTTTCTGTGCTGTATGACTGACAGCAGAATTCAAGCGGGGGG